TATTCTCATATCTCAACGTAAAACGGTTTTGTCTATCCTCATATCTCAACGTAAAACGGTTTTGTCTATTCTCATATCTCAACGTAAAACGGTTTTGTCTATCCTCATATCTCAACGTAAAACGGTTTTGTCTATTCTCATATCTCAACGTAAAACGGTTTTGTCTATCTTCATATCTCAACGTGAAAAATCGCCATTATTACGGTTTTTTCTGTCCTAACAATTCATTTTAAAATATACGCATTGTTACGGTTTTTCCTGTCCTTCATAATTATCATATATTTACTAACCTAATACTATCCTGTGGACAAACACACCTTCCACCACGACATATTGCGCCAGGCCATCCCTTTTCACATTCATCGTTTTTGCATTCCTTAGCAATTATCATCTTTGCTAAGGCAAGTATTGCGTATATCCACATCTAATTTTACTAATGCAAAAGATCCTGAAATGAACGGGAATTGACTTTTCAGTGGAAAGAAGAAATATCACATTATCCTATAATTTAAATGGCAGCATTATCGGATACCTAACTGAATTCAGTGAATTAATTTCATTATTATTTTAAGCGGAACATTTCCGGATTCATATTCAACTGATTAAACTATCCAGCCATATATATATATCTATGATCTAACATTGCTAAAATCCATTCCTGTGTTTTTTTTTAAATTTTTTTCAAAAATTTTTTTTAAAGGAATTAGTAAAATAATTTTGCGAATTAAAATCAAATTAAAAAATTAAAAAAAAATAAAAATTAGAAAATGAAGGAAACATTGAAGTGGTTGGATATATTCATTCCATCGATGAATGGCTGAGTAACAATAGTCGTCGAAATTCGGCTGTTCTTTTAACGAAAGGATGTAAATGTATGCCAATACAAACGCAGACAACAGGATGATTTGATCAGCCGGGGGAAATTGTGATGAACGGGGGAGAGATATTGGAAAACAGTAGAGATGGCAATAGCGGGGAAGTGTATCGCGAGTTTTTCTTTTTTTTTACGAGAGTACTTGCAACAAGGAAATCTTGTTTAAAACATCTCGTCTCCATCATTATTATTAGTATGATGATAATGGCGATGATTATTGATCAGTGAAATATTAATGAATAATACTCAATTTTGAGCATTTAAATTTCAAATTAAATATAAATTTTTACTATAAAATTAAATGAGATGTACAAATAAATGGTAAATTGAAAAACGGAAAACAGAAAACAATGCAAAAATATAATACTGTAAGCAATTATGTTGAAATAGTTAATGTTTGGAGATGAAAATATCGATTGATAGATTGATTGACTTCTGATTTTCGTTCTCTTTTTTGTTTTTTTTTTCAAGACTTTCCATTCGTTATATGTTACGATGATGATGGAATACGGCATAAAAATTATGATTGATACAAATCTTAGCAAAATATAATAATAATTACACAAATTAATCAACATAAAAATGAAAATTGAGTAATCAAATTAATTAAAAAATGAAAATTGAGTAATTAAATTAATTAATATCGCGAAATGTATTGTGGAATTGACGAAAAATTAGCAAATATTAAAAAAAATTTAATGATGTTTTAAGGAGGGAGAAAAAGCGCTAATTGTTTTGATTTAGTGATTGTGGTAATGAGTGATGGGAAACCAAAGAATCTTTGGTTTCTAGTTGGACTAATTTGGGGTGACACATCCAATGAATGAAAAATATCCTTGACATTTCGGTCTATGGTATTTAGTATGCTTTACAAAGTTTTCATTTAAATCTAAAAATTAACTCATTCAATTCTATTACTTTGACAGTACCTTATCTCTTTACTATTTGATCGATAACAAAACTGCTAAAGTTGAAAATGCTGCCAACATTGAATACTGCATATTAATTTCAATAATTACTAGTTGTAAAAGTATGAACAGGTACGATTATTTTTCATTGTTTTTTAATTTATAAAATGAAATTTTGCAAAAATGCAAAAATATTTTAATCTTTTTTTTTTGTCAAAATACAGAAGGACTCATTAATGTACAAAAGGTAATCATAAATTTAAATGATTTATTTCATCAATCAGCCCTCTCTCCAAACATTTTTCAATTTTAGGCGAAATTTTTTCAAAGCATTTTTTAATTGATAATCAAAGAAAACGTTTTGTTCGTCCTTTTTTTCTTCCTCACCAATCAGTGATAAATTTAATTTGATCTTATTAATTATGATGTCCACTATTGGCGATAATTAAATTTTATGATTTTTCATGTTCATCATTTGACATAGTATTCAAATTTCTCCTCAATAATGCATGATTTATTGCATTTTTGATAAATTAAATTTATTTATATTTTTTCTTTTGGACAATACATTTTGCAACAAACTTTGCTCGAATGTGACACTAAAATTATTTAATTTAAGCATATTTCTCTTTCCTTTTACTCTTTTTACAAACTTAATCACTTAAACTTTCGGAAAGTTATAAACTTGAAAGGGTCGGAGTGAAGTATATATGTGAGTATTATTTCTTCACAGAAACTTCCGGTAGGTGATGGTAGTTTCCGCAACCAAAACTACTGCACATTACCTTAATTAATGATGATCACTCGGTCATATCACAATGACAAGTATCGATCATTGATGAAAATCTTTTACAGAAAATTAATTATTACCTCTGCTTAAAGTGTTGTTTGATTGCATGTTGCATGCTTAAAA